CCCCCGGCCAAGAGGCTGTTCCTGGTGCCTGAGCAGAAGGTCCCCTGTGGCAGGCTGTGCCTGCAGCTTCCTGGGCTTCTGCTGTGCGCCCCCGAGACAGGCCCAGCCCTGCCTTCCCTGTGACCCCTTCAGTGTAGCCAGAGAAACACTTGGATCCCTCTTCCACCTTCTCCCATCAGAAAAAGCCCAGCTCTCCCCTCCTATGCCATATACTCCAAGTGCTGATGGATTTTGCAGCCTTCCTCTGGACTCTCTCCTGTTTCTCTGCATCCCTCTTGCAGTGGCGGCCACTGAGATTGACCAGATGCAGTCTCCCAGTGCTGAGAAGGGCAATGCCGGCTACACCTGCTAATGCAGCACCTCACAGGACAGATGATGGAAAAAATCTTGTCAGGGCATGCAGGTGTTGTCCAGGTTTCTCCTGCACTGGAGTCCAATGTGAAGGAGCCAGAAGACAGCAAAACATGCCGTTAGAAAGAAGGAAGAAGCACAGTCACATCATATAAAATGCTATAAAGCTTTTTGTTTTTCTTAACAAGCTATACATTAGGTGTGAAATGCCACCATCACTTTACATGGCGCACAGGCTAAACGAGAACATTTCACTTGGGGGAAAAGGCACTGCTTTGAAATGCTGGCTCCTTGCTTTGTTGCCAGAGAGGCTCAGCTGCTGCACAATAAACAGACACAGGTAAGAACCAGGGAGCTGCTGCTGCCATCTGAGAAGTGTTCACAGCTTCCACTGCAGTTGCACAGGAGGAAAATACCCCATTGTCTGGCAGCATCTGTGAAATGCTTGCTGCACAGTGCAGGAGGGTCATATATACTCCTACCCAAACCAAGAGGAAAGAGCAAGTGAAGGGTCCGTTGACAGTGAGGTCATCTGGTAAAACTGACTTTAAGGAAAAATGTCTGCTCCACCTTTTGAAATCTGTCTCCTAGTCCACTTCTGAACAAGATTTCTCCTGCTTAATAGAGCCATGTAGACCTGCAGGGCAAAAGATCCACCTGAGGCATGGAATGGAGCAGAACACTGCCCAGCAGCCAGTCCCACAGAGCAGGAGACTACAGAGATAGAACTGGTGCTCATACAGAACCCTTCTCGGGCAGGAGCTGCGCTTTCTCTCTGGCTGGCCGTGTAGCATGGGGCTCTCCCCCTGGGCCACCAGCCAGCCGGCTCCATCAGAGCACACCCTCACCTGCAAGGCTGCCTACTGTTAGGCTCACATGAGTTACCCCGAGGCCCAATGACCTTTGCTGTCTGTGGTTGTCCTCAGCTTTCTCCCTTGCATAATCTCAAAGCAGAAATGCAGAAAATTAATTTGTTGAATTACCGGGACAATCCATTTAACTAGAAACTTGACGGGCCTTTTAGCAGGTTCCCTAGCAAAGCATCACCGTCACCGAACTGAGCAACTCGGTGACCCCAAAAGGTGCTGACTTTTGCATCAGTCCAATTGAATGGGCCTTTGGGAGGATGGTGGGGGGAAAAAAGGTTTCCTTTGTGAAGGCAAAACATAAGAAGAAACGTAGCCTTTCATTTACCACCCTACAAGCCCCATTTTTGTGCCTCTCCCAGCACACACCCTCTGAGACTGCTGTCAGAAGCAGCTGGTGTTCAGGGAGAAATACCACCTCCTCGTCTTTCATCGAGCACTGACTGCATCAGCCAATTTGAATGTTCACAAATTACTCTTTGAAAGGGAAGGTTTCCCCAAGGGATCTGCAGGTCACATAGCACAGCTTACAAAACCAAGACATATTTTTTGCCATCAGAGGCAAGGACTGACCAGAACAAAAAACAAAGACAGAAATGCAGTACAGACCACAGCTGGGTCACATTCATAGAAGCTAAAACTGTTGTCGTTGTTCCTCCTCAGGGCTCCAAAGCAAGTTGCGACTTCCTTTGTTTGTTACTGAGATTCAGGACAAAGCTTTGCCTTTCAAGTCTCCATTGCAGCGTCTGGTGTGGTCCTCTCACGCCAGCTATGCTGAGCACTGGATGCCAGGCCAGCTTCTTTTCCCTCACTCCCAGCAACGCCTGACTAAGAAGATGACTGCTGCTTCTGCTTCAAAACCCAAACGTCCAGTAAACACCAAGAAGAGGGCAGAGGACTGAGGTGTAGTCTGATCAAAGGAAGTATTTCTCTGTAGTTTTTCCTTATTCTTTTGAGCTCACCAGTATCAAAGTCCTTGGATTTCTCTGTATTTTAGTATACAATTTTCCAGTGAGTTGGCTGCTCACAGTTTTTCTCTTTTTCACCACAGAATCGGTTGTAAGTTGTGTTTGGATCAAATCCCAAGATCTCCCTTTCCTCATGTATCCGGAAGGAAAATGTTGAAACTGAGGTGCCTATAAAATACCTGTGAAAAAAATCAGAATAGGTTTGTGGAGGGAGACAGGTTTTTAAAATGCAAGTAATTGATTTCAGTCCAGCTAACTTTAATGTTCATTGAACTGATACGATAATGAAATTATCATATATATACTATATATACATACACAATATAACTATTATACATCTGTTTAATATAATATCAATTATATAGTCTCATGTCATATATGATTTGTAAACAACTGTATCTGGGTCAAAGCAAATACTCAGTTTTGGACAGCAAGCTTTGGCTCCTCAAAGCAAAGTCAAACTCTCTACCTCGCATGCGCGCAGATCCACTGGTCAATCACGGCCAAGCCCCCATCTTTGTAGAGTTCCAGCTCCTCCCAAGAGGGTTCAAACCTCACCATCTCAGGCAGAAGTTTCTTGAGCAACTCAATCTCTGAAAAACGGAAAGATGCACATTCAGTTTTACATTATAAAAAGCAACTCGCTGCTGTCATTAAGATCAAGTGTTTAAGGAAACCCTGGTGAACAGTTACTAAGTGAGCGAAACAAAAATCTAACCACAAATTTTACAACATGTTTGCCAAACGTCAGGGTAGTGTAGGTGAGGGCGGGAGCCGGTGGGGCAGGGATGTGGTGCCAAGGAGGGCAATTCTCAGGCGGTGGGGAAGCCCGCAAGGGTTAGAACAGATGCTACCACTAGCCTCACTGTCTAATCCTACAGGGGAGGTGTACCAAGACAGCTCTCTTGACAGCAAAGTTAGATTAGGTAACACAGATGCCATGTCCTGCAGGGTTATTCTACCATTGAAACAGATCCCTAGATACTACCAGGAGGGAGGTGTAGCCAGGGATAAGGCCTGGGGGGGGTGAACCCTACCCTTGGGGGACTATAAGCCTTGGTCACACACAGACAGGTCCACCCCAGTGTGGCCCTGGGGTCAGCCAAGCAGAAGGCTGGGTGGGAGACTTCAGAGGGCCCTTCCCACCAGCGCGTCTGAGAGTCTCTGAAATGCTAAGAAATAAAGGTGGAAGAAAGAGGAGGAGGAACAGGCAAATTCAATTCTCAATTTCCCGTTGCAGAGACCATCAAACCTCCTATAGGAAATACCAAACGGATGGTTGAATACCAGCTCCTCAAGCTGGAAGGAAACAGCTGCCCAACCCTGTTCAATTCCCTGTTCAATAGAGGCACATGAATTTCCAGTCATTTATAAAAACAAAGTGGTAATTGCTGCACTCCTTTTCAAAAGTTACCAACCCTAAACTGACTATAATCTGCCTACCCTCCTCGACAGCATCGGTGGCTACAAAAACTTTTTTGAGTTTATGCATCTCCAAGAGGTTGCGGATTTTCTTTACTGCTCCTTGCAGGGAAGGCACGTCTTCTCTGTGACCCCAAATGAAGTCTTTCCTTCTGAGGTGAACCCCAAGGTATGGACCACCTAGAGCTGTGCCCACCTTAACCTAGGAGAGAAAGACCAGTAAATGTTAAAACTTGAGAGTACCACTATTCATTCATACTGAAAGGCCTGAATGCGCAATCTCTGGCTAAGGCACGGAGTTACTCCAGCTGCAGAAAGCAATTTTAAGGTATGGATTGGCAGTATTTTGGGATACTCATTGCAACGTTTTGATCTTGGGTGGCCTGCACCAAGAGAAATTAGAGTGTGAAATCGTCATATGCAAAAATCGCTCTCCTTGACCAAATCCACAACAGGCAGTTTGCAGCTGAACTTTACACCCACAGATGATGCTGAATACAAGAAGAAATACACGTTTTCTTTAGTGAAATGAGGGTAACAGAAATCTGACACCTGGAACCAGCTGACCGCACCTCAACAGACTGTGTTAACTCATGTCACGCAGGGAGAAGAGGGTACAGTAGGAACATGCATGTCCACCTGGATCTGAGCAGGACAGCTAGATTCCTATGTATCTTCCAATACTCCCTGCAGGGTACAGCCAGGAGTACACACTAAAAAGTAGTATTACCTTTGTTACGGGAAACAGATTGTTATGATTTTACCTTCATCTGTGTCCAGTCCTCCTTGTAATGAGTCCTGTCTGCCTCATCTGTGGATTGCAGATACTTGTTTCTAAACTCGTCTCCCACCACACGGAGGTGTTTAGCAAACACCATGCTCCGACGGGTCTGTTGGAAGAAGAGCAGATGCCGAGTCAGAAAAAGGGAGAGCTAAAAGTGATGAAATAGAGATAGTTTCACATACACAGTGCTTCCAGGGTGGAGTTACTTCTGATACATCCATGAAGCACTACAAACAACAATTTCTAACCTTTCATCTGAGCTTTAACTGTTTAATCGTGGTCATAACCACATTTATAACTAGCATATTCGTCTGACCCTGCAATACATAGGCGCACAGAGTAGGCTGTAGTTATTTACACAACACAGGACACATAATATACCAAATTAAACACTAGCACTATACCTCACCTTTGGAAACAAAATCTGGGCAAAGACTTTAGCTTGCAAAACACCCGTAAGAATAAAACCTGCTTAAAAAATAATCACGCATCTAGCCACAGACACTCCTATCAAATTCAGTGGAAACGTGACAAAAAAGGAATTATTCCCTTCACTTGTGGATAATAACCTCTCTCAAAGATTTTGTGATGCAGTTACCACTGCACACACTCACAGACAGGCTTCCTATTAACAGGCACACACAGGAGAACTAAGGAAATCCCACGTGACTTACAAAGGACACCTGGTAATTCAGTCCAATTCTTAATTTTATGCAAGTCTGTAGTCTGTCGTGTGATGGGCACCAAAGAAGGTGCAACGAAAACACTTCTCTTCAATTTCCAGTGGCCTCTCTTCTCTCGGTATGGTGAAGCCCACAGTGGACAGAGTTAGCTACATAGTGGAGAATCCAGACAGGGCCTTATTGGTACTCCATGACGTAACCACGCTGCTCGTGCCTTCGCCTTGCTCTAGCAAAGAGGCAGGTATTAGAACCTGCCAGCCTTTCTCCACCTTTTCCTGGAGCAGCTACTTCTCCATATGCCAAACTCTCTGTGGCTGAACTGGTTCCTCCCCCGTATCATTCAATAAGACACAGAACAATTTAGTCTTCTGTAAGATCCATCACCCCGACACCTGCAGATCCATGCCCCTTTAAATACCTAATGAAAGTATAAAGCCTGCTCTTCTAGCATCTTTAGAGAGATCAGCACTGGCTTTCTAACCCTCTCCCAAATTCTCCAGCAAAACATTTATATGAAGGGAGGATGTACACACTGTCTGCTGCAGAACACTCACACTGCAGTTCAGAGAGAGACATTTTCCCTCCTTTTTGTAACACGTCAGCACAACACGATCCTGTCGAGTCAAGGCATCAGGTGCCTCGCCCAAGACAGGATGAACACGGTATGCCCACAAGGCAGCAAACGCATATGCAACCCACAGCAGCGCAGTGCACTGGGGAGGACAACAAACATCTTTGAATGCTACGCCTGTGTCAAACACTTCTAAACTTCATCCTGACAGAATGCATGCACGTAATGTTTGGCACCCACGCAGCGTGCTGTGCCAAGTTTTTCCTGGGCACAAAGCACTCCTCTGACAGCAGCTGTTCTGAGTGAACACTTATTTTGCAACAGCATACGTAATAAAGAAAACAGATGAATGTGTGAACCTCCACCAATACACTTTCTAAAGTGGATGCTCTCTGTAACTGCTTATCCTCTTGTTTAAAGAATACGTTTCAAATGTACACATGTGATATCTTCACCCTTTCCAGCTACCTCCAAGTTTTGCTTGCCTGCAAAGAAACAAACAGAGAAGGGAGAGACACTTCTCAGAGGCACATGTAAAAAGACAAGAGGCCCTGGGCCCAAGCTGCAGCAAGGCAACTTCTGGCTGGGTATCAGGCAAGACCCACAAGAGTGGCACAGCCATGAGACAGGCCCCAGAAAGGTGTCGGATCTCCATCTGTGGGGACTTTCCACCTTCAGCTGGACACAGTCCCAAACCACCAGATCAAGTTCTGGAGTGCAAACCTTGAGGCAGGGCTGCTAAGACACCTGCCCACCTAAATTCTTCTGTGATTCTAAGTCTGGGAAAAAAACAAACAATCAGCGTTGGTTATGCTCCCTTTCATGTACACAAATTGAATTAATGGTACAGGTCCTCTTAATTCTCTGAGATAGTCCCCCTAAAATTCAAAACCGCTGGCTTTCCTGGAGTCGTCCCTTAGAGAACTTCCTGCTTCCATAAAGATGGTAAAGCGCTCATGTGGTCTATACGCTACACTGATGCTCTTCAAGGGATTCAACAGTTGCTCCTAAACCATTTTGGGAGGTCTTTCCTGCTCCGTGGTCATTCAGCCATTAAGAACCCCAAAACAGTACCTTGCAGCTTGTAGCAGTAGAGAAGACTAGACAAAAATGGTGACAACAGAGCGAGCAATGTGGCTCGGTATTAAATCCAAATCTTTTTGGACACCAAAGACGCAGGTTGGTTGCAACAGGAAGCTGGCTTAAAATTTAAACACTTGTTCGAGACAAGAGGGCATCTGTTAGCAAGATTCATAAAGGACTCCAGACGTTACCCAGAGTTATTAAGAAATAACAACTAAAAATCATGCAGGTAGTTAAAATTGAACCAAAAGGAAGAAGAATATTTTCCAAAAAGTTTTAAATAATTTTGAGGTAGCTAAGACAATGTTTAAGGTGCCACTGTTAAGAAATGTGTGTTACAGATCCATATGGATTTCACGTCTGCTTTTACAGGACTACAAGTCAGACTCAGAAATGATATGTGGGTTGCATTTCTCTGTTGGGAAAGTCACTCTCAACAAAAAATTCAGTTGGCAAACTACTGTTTGGTTCACTTCTGAAAAATATGCCATATACCAAGTGAACAGCCAGACATTAATATCTTACTAGACAGGTCTCTGTAACTTGTTTTGTAATATCATGAGAGTCATTTTCTTTTAGAAATTTTCATTATATCAAGCACTCCATATTGTGTTCTGTTTTCCCGTGGCTGAACCTTTAACTTTGTCTTAACACTTTTCCCATAGGAAAATGTTTTACTACAGACCCTTGGGTGGGATCTCCCAAAGCACTCTGTGTAACCTTCAAACTCTTGAAACTCATGGGAATTTTGCCATTGAAGTCAAGGGGGAGACAGTGAGGATACTGAGCACTTTCGGGAATTCTTTTGAAAAGTCTAACCTTGAGGCTGACTAGACAAAGAAACTGCACAAAGGCAGTTCCCCTCTGATAGCAGATGTGTTGCACAGGGGAGGTCCTTTTAAACACCACACCCTGCAGTAATGAGTCTCTGGGGACAAGACACCAGGACAAATTCTGGCATCACATTAACCCAATAGCGGTCTGAAGACCATCTTTAGCACACACACTGAAACATGAGACACAAGTTACTTTCAAGAAAAGAAGCCCAAGGCAAAACTGAAGCACATACCGGTTATTGAATTTTTATGAGAACGAAGCAGAAAGTCTAGAGAAGCTAACTGGAAAATACTCACATTCCAATAATCTTTCCCTCCGTAGTGGTCATGGAGAAGGTTTTCAGCTCTGTCTAACATCACTGACCTATTAAAAATTGTAAAACTGAGTGCAGTTCCCTTAGGAATAGAATTTACATTATGATGTTTCTTTATACAGTTCCCAGGATAAAACATAGACTACGATCTGTTTGCAAAGGGAGCACAGGGAATGAGGGATAGGCTGCCAGTCTGTTCTGTATAAAGCAAGTTTTGACCCATAGCCTGCTGGGGAGAGAAGGGAACTATGCCACTGCGTGTTCCTGCTCTCCTCCTTAATAAATGGTACTCTTAATTCTGACATTTAAACAAGAACAAGCATTAACAATCCCTCACGTAATCCTCACAGTAGCTGCTGCTGGAAAAATAAGATCGACAACAGGGAGAATGACCCAAAGGGAAGAAGCGACCTATGAGATGATGCTCGGCCTCGCAGCATCTGACAGCCTCTTGGAGGAAGCACGAGTCACGCTCACAAAGAAGGTGTGGAATAAAATGTCCTACAGTAAAACAACAGATCAAAGAACACATAGACACTACAAAAACGTGTGTCAGCAACTAAGCACAAATTTTAAAATGAAAACATGAAATGTGAAAACAGCCTGTGCTTTTCACAAATACACACAGTTCAGCATCTTGTGGTGGCAAACTAACTGCACTATCCAAGTTTTAAGAAGTAGAAAAGATTTTGAGAGTTTTGAGTATCCAAGAGTACAGGGGATGTAGGCTTAGTTTGTGCTCTGAGCACAGAGTATGAGCAAATACACAGAGAAACGCTTCTGCTGAAGGGGCTCAAAGTCATTATCCAGACTGTCATCTACGAAAATGAGAGGAAGCAAACAACCAATCATCTTTAGATTATCACTGCTGATAATCAGCTGGATGCTTGCACATACAGGTACAAATAATCTGGGAAATAGACTGGACTGTGCTGGTACAGAAGCAGCACTGCATTTAACAGGAAGCTTGGAGGTGAATCAGATTAATAATTTAAATGTATCAGGAAGATTCCTATAAGTGACCACACTTGACGAGTAATAATACAGGGCCCATACAACTGACTGTCTGGCCAAAAGGGCGATACGGGAGATTAGAGAGGCTACGGCGCACAAATCACCACAGCCATTGGAGATTTCAGCTATTCCCAGGTAGGCTGGGCAAATGTCACAGCGGGACGTGACTAAGCTACTGCAGTCTGAGACATCATCAAAGACTGTTCCATGAACCAACTGGGTGCTCAAGACACCGACCAAAAGCTCATGGTGGAAGAGCTACTCTGTGACAGTGGCCATAAACGTACTCTCCTTCAACATCCTACTGGATCAAGAATGGCCAAAGGAAAGCTACTACAGCTGCACTCAGCTTCAAACAGGGGACTACGCAAAAAATGCAGAAGTAGAGTCCAAGTGAAGAAAGCAGAAAGGCTCAGAAAGTCCATCAAGTTAAATGGAAAAGGACAATAAGGAAGGTCAAAAAATGAATTTGAGCAACAAGAACTAAAGGTCTTCAGTCTAATGACAACTCTTCCTCACAACACAAAGAAAAAGAAAACTAAAGGCTTAACAAGCCCTTAGAGACGGCAACCACCATCATGACAGAAACAGCTCATGTAATTTTTTGTAGCTGTGCACTAGGTGGAGGAGCTGGGAAAATTCAGGTGCCAGAACTACTTTCTATAGGGGAACTCATCAGAGGACGCATCTCAAACCAAAGCGTCCATAGGAAGTGTCCAGCGATGGAACAGCCAGACAAAATGAACAAACAAATGGCCAACACTGGGCAGCACTCACTCACCAGCTGTCAAGGAACTCAAGGACGAAGCAGCTGCGCCACTAATTCTGGTACGCAACTTCTCGGTTAAAACTGTGGCACAGCACATGTGACGTCAATTTTCTAAAAACATCCTTAGGGAGGTCTGGGATGCAGCGCAGTGGTAAACCTGATGTCAACTTAATAGCAACTATTAAAAAAACCCCCAGAATTAATGGATACCTAAAGTAAATTGGAGAAGTATGGAGCTCTGAACAGAGTAGCCTGAAGACCTAAGCACAGTCTCATTGACATCGCCTACCAGGACTTCCTGACGGCCCTAGTTAAGGGCTTTTAAGAAAACTTAATGACAATGGCACAGGAGGGAAGGTCCTTGCATGGATTAAAAAAAAAAAGTTCAAAGCCAGGGATAGATGTCCAGTTCTCATTGTAGAGGGAAGTCAACAGTGGGAGGGATTTGCTTTTCACCATATTCTTAAACAACGTACAAAAAGGTGTGAACTTTGGGGTGACACAGCTTGCTGATTGTTTTAAATTGCTCAGAGCAGCAAAGACAGAGGCCAATTATGAAGAATTAGAGAAGTTTGATGACTGGCCAACAAAGTGGCAGATGAAATCTAATGCAGGAGTGCATCTACCAAAAAAAAAAATACTGGCTTCATCTGGTAACTAAAGGGCTCTGTGCTAACTATCAATCCTCAGGAATGAGGACAGTTTGATGAAAACATGAAGGCAACACTCATCAGAGGGAAAAAAAAAGGAACTTGTATATTAGAAAAAGAAGAGAGCACTACAGAGCATGTCATTATACCACTATGTAATGGGTTCACCCACACTCCGTGTGCAGGATCCAGATGAACGGTAAAGGTTCAGAGAATGGCAGCAAGGATTACCGAAGGCATGGAATGACTTTCACATGAAGAACAACTAATGAAGCCAGGACTCTTCACACTGCAGAGGCAACTGAGGGGGAATATGATAGAGAGACGTAGAACCATGCATGGTGTGGAGGTGAATACGGAAGAGCTGTCTGTTCACTGTCTCTTCCACTGCATGGATTAGAGGACATTAGATGAAATTTGCAGGTAGAGTTACAAAAGGAGGTGGATTTTCACAGGATATACAGTTAAGGTGCAAAACTTTTAGGTCTTGTCCCAAGATCTGTAGATGCTATCAGCATGCATGGGAGTTCAAGGGAAGCTTGCATGGATCCATGGTTTCGCCAAGGGATATAAAAGACAGGAAAATCACTTTTGGCTCAGAAAGTCCCTACAACCACAAATCTGAAGGGCATGAGGGGACTCAGGGGAGGTGCTGTACACATCTGCCCAGTTCTTACATGTTTCCCCAGACATCCGATTTCAGCCGCTCTTGGATTTCACACACTAAACTAGACCAACTTTCACATGAACCACAAGTTTTAACATGAACCACTGTAGCTGCCCTTACGTCTCCATTACGCTAGTACTTCTTCCTACTTGTGTCTGAGAAATGTGATCTTGTGAATAAGGCACCTTGTCTGCAAGTTAGGAATACCTGAGGCACCCCTCCCAATTTTTCTCTTGACCTTCCTCATCACCAGACCTTTAACAGTCGCCATGAAAGAGTTAACTGTAGGACTAAACACGGAGACCTCTATGGCTTATTTAAATCCAGTTTTCTGCCGTCACTGGCAAAGATTGTGGTATAACTCCTACAAATAGAACACCATCCCTGTTAAAAAGCTTTGCTGCTTCTGCTCCCAGTGGGAGGTACTACAGATCCCCATTGATCTGCTTAGGGGAACCTTCATCTCATTTCCAATTAAATTGTATTGGTGTCAAATTTTTGGATGATTTGGATGATTTGGATTGCTCTCATGGCAAAGCCGCGCTTTAGCTTACACGGTTTGTGTTTCTCCTGTGGATTTATTCCCCTGAGGTATTCATAGACAGTGATTATTTCCTCTTCCTGTTCTCCCCTGTACCCTGGTAGCTTTTGCTTTCCTACCACGCCTTCATTTGTTACAGGGTCACAGCCGACTGGAAATACTTTGCTACTGCGATAATGTAAGCATGGTCCCCCTCTCATGTAAGAGCTCTCCTTTCCTCAGATCATCCTAGTGGCATCTCAGAGCAGAAAGACGAAACATGCTGCTGGCTTTCTCTAAACCTGGCTCACACTATTGAGGATGGACATCACAGGAGACCAAGCACTGCACCTTGTGATCTGAGACGTGAGCTTGGGAAACACTGATTCCACTCTGTTCATTCCCTCCTGACCCAGCATCGAAGGGTAAAGGAAGGAAAGGTAAATACAAAATAGCAAGGACATTTAGCTACCCAAGAGAGAATACAAAGGAGCTCAAGGCTATTTCCTCTTAGGTTTTAGCACTGCAGCATTTACCCTAACTTACAGTTAGGTGTTTCTTACAGCTTAAATTCCTTTTGTAATGATTTTAACAGACTACAATAACTCTGTCCTGAAGCACCACAACAGTGGGCCATAGCCTGTAAGTTCCCCCTGCTCTTCCCACCCGGCAATGGGTTTGTGAGCACATAATACAACAATAAATAGTAACAGAAGGCAACTCACTGTGCTGAAGTGTTCTTCAAAAGGATGGGAGCCACAATAGAGGCAGATCCTTGGACAGACAAACAAGAGACATTTAGGCCCCGCGTTTCCTCGTAACCCCAGAACCATCCCCTGAAAGGGAACACAAAGTATTGGTTCACAGCCTTGTATTTTAAATTAACAGCATATATAGAACAAAAAAAAAACCCAAAACAGTACACCTTAGAAAGATGACATACAATGTAAATAAATCCAGCCAGCTCCTTTATGTTGTTTTTTGTGTGAACAACAACTTTCTAAAATTAGATCTTCTAGTACCAACCTAACAGTTTATTATTGCTGGGGTTTTAAAAACCAAGCGAACCCCAAGCACCCAAAGATTCACAGACAACACTACAACAACTGCACAAGTCTGTTCTGCTAAAGTAGGCAAACATCTCACTGAATACAACTAAAAAGAAGACTGAAGGGACTGCTAGACATTACCTGTAGTACTCATGTTTGTCTTTGGAGTACATAAACTGATCAATGCATGGCCTTTCATCTATTTTTTCTTCCCATGTTCCTTCCTTCCATCCCTCTGCGTAGCCTTGTAGGACATAAATCTGTTCAATAAAGGGCCCACCTGACTCTGAGCAGAAGGCAAAGCAAAGCATTTGTGAGCATGAAAAACCACATGATGAAGGTATGAACTAGCATTACTTGCAGTTAAAAATCTGCTAGAAATGCTAATTACACTACTCACTCTCTTCCCTGTTTTCCCTATAAAAAAGGAAAGGAAGTTCTGTGTGAGCCAGAAAAGCTAAAAGGGTCAGGGGATGTGACAACCAGCTACTCCCACTCAGCTGTGTGTGATTTCATGTGCTGAACGGAACTGAAGTGCCATGGAAATGTAATTTTAAAAGCTGGGTAAAACACACCACGAAGTGCAAAGGCTTTCAATGCTGTAGGTGGCTGCTATGTGAACAGCGCCTCCAAGAAAATGACAAGCAGAAGCCCTTCTTCCCCTAAATTTCAGCATTTCTAAATGCTTTCTCCTGAAAAGTAGGGGACAATGATCCCTGCAGAGCTCTTTGCAGAGATGTGACATTTGGTGGCTTTTATTTCCTTCGCTGAAAAATTCTGTGACACTGATGCAGATTTTGGCACTTGGCGATTAGCTCAACGTGGCATTAAATCCTAAAGGAACCAACTTCACAGTTTCCATATTCTCAGGGAAAGCCTTTCTCTTCTATACCACTTTGTACACAAAAAGCAGTGGATACTTATTTTGAGCATGTGCAGCATCCATGATGAAAAAGTAAGTTCACTCACGAACCCACTGTACAGCTTTTACTGTCCAACCAGCTCCAGAAAAATGTGGCCTGTCTGTATTTCGACAGACCGCCTCTCTTTCCTTACAGGGTTGTTAGTACAGCCAAAATTATGCAGAATTATCTGTGACTTTAACCAGGGGCATTACCTTTCTTTTCCTGGGGTCCCTAGGAAGTCAAGGGGACAACAGCACTACATCAAAGAAGCTGCCAAATAATTGAGTTATTGCATCCTAGTGGTTTTGTTACTCTGCACAATTCTTTCCCATCCCTCCTCTCACCACTGTTTTTATTTCACATACAAGGATAAAAGCACATATAAGCATAACCCCCTGAAGAAACCATCTCAAATATTTAGTCAATCATGGATTGTACGATTCCGTACTCTACCTGCAAGGAACTGCTCATATTCAATGACAGGGATGTTCCTGTTAAGGCTTGGGAGATCGAAGAACTCTGACCAAGGTAATTGGACCTGAAGGACGTCAGGGCTCTGCCAGTGATAAAGGCGTCCCCAGGGAGGCAGAACTAACACCCAGTTTTCACTTTTCAGCAAGGTCTTTAGAAGGGAAGCAACACGAATGTAGACATCTCTGCGAAGGTTGAACCCTTCAGGAGGATTTACATCATACAAAAGGTATCTGGGGAGAACAAAGCAATATAATTACTTCAGGGAGTTTAAAACTTTTACAGCTGTTTTTTGTTTGGTTTTTTTTTACAGCTCATGTATGATGTGACACAACTCTATCGGGATGAAAAATGTTCCTCTTTCACGAGTTTGTGGTACTCGGAAGATGGAAGGGGAGGACGTAGGGGAAGGCAGAGCAGTGTGGGCTGCAGGAGCTGCGGGGGGGCCACCAAGGTCTCCTCGCAGGACATCACCAAGGTGGCACATGCAATAAGCCTTCCCTGCGGCAGTGCGGGATGCGGGGGGGCCAAGGAGCAAACCCCTGAAATGTCTTGCTCATCCTAAGCATAATGTGGTGCGTGGTGAGAATGGTGAAATGATTGGCATGTTACTTGTGCTAATTCCTGTGAGCAGAATATGAAGGTGGGAAGGACAGCGACACGGCAGCCGGGGTCCCCAGGCCACGCTCAGCCCTCAGACAGCCGTTAAGGTGGCATCTTTCAGAA